TAGTTGCTATTGTTAACAACGCAAACAAGAAATTATTGCCGTACAGCTAAACACTCAACACTTTACAGTGGGCCTACCCTGTCTTTGGTCTTCCTCTTGCTTCTAATGTATTGATAAAAAGTCTTCTTGTTTCCTTTTATTCCTGTAGCTAGTTTGAGCTCATTTTGGGCCTTTGCCTTTCTAATCTTGCCCCTGCATTCCTGTGTTGTTTGCCTATATTCCTCCTTTGTAATCTGTCCTAGTTTCCATTTTTTATATGACTCCTTTTTATTTTTTCAGGCAGTTAAATGCAAAAGAGGTATAAAATGTATCTGCAAGTACAAGGTATGTAGGTGCAAAATCCAAGGCCAAAATGAGACTGTTTTACAAAAAGCCTTTATATGTATACTGAATCTCAAGGCCTTTGCCCCCATATTTGGAGAAAGTTCTAAGCTGGTTTCTAGTGCTGTTTGGAATTGCTTTCAGGATTCTGACTCTTACCTTCCTGTCTGTATGGGTTGGTGTGTGCTTTTCCCCTTGTGACTCCAGGTTTAACTGGTTTGTCTTTGCATTTTGTTGTTTGGGATATTTTACAGATACTTCATTTATGTTTATTCATGAATGGAGTAAACTAAAGTAAATATCTGCTTATCTGTTTTAAATCTCTCTACAGTATCATCAGTCAACCAGTTATGGAAAAGGACATACAGTTTAGACACAATTTTTGTGGGGCCAAGACAAAATAAAAATGCTATCTGGGTGCAGTCTGTGCAGCTGCAATTTACTGGACACTGTCGGATCAAATTTTACCCAACATTTATGTTTTATTTTTTAAAAAATTACTAGAAATGCTTCCATCAAATTGAACAAACAGTACAATACAAACAAGCTTTACAGAATAAATTGACATTCTCCTCTACAGCAATTGCAGCCTGAACAATGCAGCACTGTGCTAGTTTGTGAGAACCAAATATCGAAGTTGACCATGCTGGGTGAAATGCCATTTGTAGCAGGAACAAAAGTAGAACTTTAAAATGTTCACTTTTAATAAACATAGTTAATTTGTACCATGGGAAGGGAAATATTTTTCTCAGGATTGTTTTGTCATCACTGCTGCTGTCAGGCAAACAAGGAATAAACAACAAGCCATGTTAGTTTAAGGTCCATTAGAAACAATCAGTCAGATCCTGGCCCCTGGCTTCATCCCCTTTGCACTAGGTGGGGCTGATCAGGGGAGGAGAGTAGAAAGGTGGTGTAGAGCTACTTCCTATTCAAAACCTCCTCCAGAGTCCTGTGGCTTGCTTTCTGAAAGGCGGGCTCTTGCCTAGCATTTTGGACAGAAGGGAATGATTAGCTCCTATTCCCATTGAAGTCCATGGACTTCGTTGAGAGTAGGATTAGGCTAAGAGAGGCAGAATTCGAGACCACTGGTAGCTGGGAGAGGAGTTGGGATTGAGGTCTTGGAACTTTATTCAGAAAAAGCAGCATTTGGGCATCTATATGATTTCAGAATTTTCCTCCACTGAATACTGTTTTTATGGAACACGATAATCCTAAATAGTCCACAAGGTGGAGCTCCTTCTCTTCCTAGATTAGAGGTGGGCAAACTACGGCCTGCAGGCCACATCCAGCCCGCGGGACCGTCTTGCCCAGCCCTTGAGCTCCCAGCCAGGGGGGCTGGCCCCCGGCCCCTCCCCCGCAGCCATGCCGCCACACGGGCTACGCTCTGGGCGGCGGGGTTACGCACTCCTGCCAAGCAGAGCTGCAGCGTGTCTGGGTCCAGCCGGGCGGCGCGGCTGCCAGATATGCTGTTCTGAGCGGCATGGTAAGGGGGTTGGGGTTGGGGGGTTGTATAAGGGGCAGAGGGTCCCGGGGGGCAGTCAGGGGACAGGGAGCAGGGGGCGGTTGGATGGGGCGGAGGTTCTGGGGAGTGGTCAGGGGATGGCGGTTGGATAAGCGTGGGCGTCCCGGGATGCCTGTCAAGGGGCGGTGAATAGGGGTCGGGGCAGTCAGGACAGGGACTAGGGGGGTTCGATATGGGGTGGGGTCCCGGAGGTGGTTAGTGGCGGGGGTCCCCGGAGGGGGCGGTTAGGGGACAAGGAGTGGGGGGGGGGTTGGATGGGTCAGGGATTCTGAGGGGGGCAGTCAGGGGGAGGGGTCAGATAGGCACAGCCTTCCTACCCGGCTCTCCCAATGTGGCCCTTGGGCCAAAACATTTGCCCACCCCGTCCTAGATAGAAGGAAATACAATATATAATTGAGTCCACTTTCTCTTGTGAAGGCAACTTGTATATAGGTGTCTCATCCCACAGTGATATCTACAATTATTAACTTATATGGATCACTATCCAAATGTTACCCATCTACAGCACAACGTTGTGCACACAGTTTCACACTGCCTTAGTTTCTTTTGATAAAACGTTTTCTTCCTGTACTCTGCAAGTTTGATTTGTAGCTTAACTTTTTAGTTCCTTTTAAGTCCATGAACAAATTTCAATCTCTTTTTCACAGTATATGCTAATCTGCTTTGCATAAATGTGTGTTTTGTTTTTGTTTTTAATCACTGCAAGGTACAGCACATTTTAAACTATTTATGCGTATGGCGATATGTATGTGTGTCTTTGCAGCAGTGGTCAGTGTGGAAATGCAGATGTTGTTGTTCTGAAACTTGTTGCAGGGTCGTTCCAGAATCTCCCCGGTGGCTGATCTCTCAAGGAAGAGTACAAGAGGCCGAAATCATCATCCGAAAGGCTGCAAAAACAAATGGTATTGGAGCCCCAGATGTAATATTTGACCCTATGGAGGTAAACTTTCATGTGTATTAAAACTGTCTGCCTGATCCTCTGGTTACTATTCAAGAAAATCCATTTCCAGATTTGTTATTTGGATTAAGGTAGTTCCTGTAACGTCCTAGGCACTTTCCAAACAGATAACAGATGTTCACCCATATGCTTCCTCTTCGTAAATCTTCTGAACCACCGTGACTTCCATTCCATGAGCACTCCAGCCAGAAAGAAAACGCATCTCGGTGTTCTGCATTGTACCTGTTTGTGCCTTTTTGATTGTAGTCTCTTTAGGGCAGGCACTTTAATTTGTTTCATAGTTTACTTGTTGCTCTGTGGCTTGTACATACCCTGCACTGTAATGCAGTAAATCTTCTCCCCCGCTTGAGAATGGACTCTGTTTCTTTATATGAAACAGCTGACGCATGCCCGTGAATTCTCACTTCTCAGGGTGCTGGAGCCTGGCCACATGGTGGGGAGATTCCAAGATATCATACAAGATGGACTTCGCTTTCAGATTTCCCCCAGCCATTGATTTTTGGATATAAAGATCATTGTCCCAGACAGAGATGTAAAGCCCCCCCAATGGTGAAACAGAATAAGAGAGCACATAGCAAAACAGGCAAAAAACCTGGCCTTAAACTAAAGGGATGAATGAAAACCCAGGGACCCCCACTTGCTATTTAGGACCATTCCTAGAGAAGGAGAGCCCCACTCAAATGATTTGAGGACTTCCCCTCAAAACTAGAGTCTAGCTATTTATTGTACTGTTCTCTAGTATAATAGAGCCCTGACCACATAAGCTCTGTATCTTCCCTGAATAGGACCAAACCCAATCAGGTTACAGAACTGTGCTACAGCCTGACTGGAGCCTTAAATCTCATGAGATTTCCAGTGCTCCCTGCCTTTGGCCAGGGCAGAGAGAGAGTGGGGACAGTCTTCTTCTGAGTCTTCAAATCCAATCTCTGGCACCAAAGAACCTCTGAAACATTCTGTTAACTTAAACCAACACAAAACAAAACATCCGCAATCTTCTCTATGTCAACCTTTGTTGCTGCACCACAAATGTAGCCTGGCAAAAAAGCTGCCAATGTCTCTCTTTTTTTTTTTAATAAATGGAGATATCTTATCTCCTAGAACTGGAAGGGACCTTGAAAGGTCATCGAGTCCAGCCCCCTGCCTTCACTAGCAGGACCAAGTACTGATTTTGCCCCAGATCCCTAAGTGGCCCCCCTCAAGGATTGAGCTCACAACCCTGGGTTTAGCAAGCCAATGCTCAAACCACTGAGCTGTCCCTCCCGCCAGTCACTAAGGGCTGGGTGTTGAATGTTAAAGGGAGAGACTATAATTCCTCAGATTGTAAGCAGGGATTCATTGCAGGGATTGGGTCTACTTCTGTGCTTGGATAGTGTCCAACACAGTCCTGATCCCGGTCAGGCCCTCTGGGTACTACTGTAATATAAATATATCCAAGCTCAGCATTTCTCTAAAACCCTTTAGGGCGTCATTATTATGCACCACTTTCCTCTTCCCTCAGCCCCACCAATATTTCCCCCCCTCCCACCCCCCGGAAGTTTTCTTTCTGTCTGAGCTGGGCTGAAACAATGTAGGATTTGAGGTGGGAAAAGTGTGTTAATATCCAAACTTGTCTCATTTTTGGAAGTCACACTGACACCATTTGGGTCCCCCAGTGATCCTGGAGGATGAGGGACTCCTGGACTCTATTCAATTAAGGAGCAATGGGGTTTCAGATTATATAGAGTTACATTCAAAGCATCATTTCTGTCTCATACCAAATGATCGGCCCTCTCAGCCACTCTCATACCTTCCTTCTGGGACCTGCCCCATCGAGGATTTCATTGTCTGTGTATCCAGCTACTAATGGGCAGAGCCTCTTCTCACGGATAGCAACTGTTAGACTTACACTACGTTCCTCTTTTTTTAGTTTCCTGTTTGTTGATTTCTTGGCAGCTAATGGTGACACAACAGTATACACAAAGATCATACGATTTACAAGAAAGGGTGGAGAGTTGCACTGCTGCAAGCTGTTGACATGTGACATATTTGTCTTTAGGGGGCAGCTTGTTTTCAGGAAAACAAAACTCTAGCTCTTAATGCTACTAAAAATGTCAGGCTTTTTAATGGACGATGTTTTATAAAAACAACAAAAGGACCCTGCAAGGTGCTGAGGCTCCAGAGCTTGGGCTGCAGCCCGAGCCCGAATGTCTACACCACAATTAAACAGCCCCTTAGCCTGAGCCCAAGTCAGCTGTGACGGGCCAGCTGCAGGTGTCTGCTGTGTAGACGTACCCTCAGAAATAGTTTACATTCACCCACAGTAGCTAGGGGGAGGGATAGCTCAGTGGTTTGAGCATTGGCCTGCTAAACCCAGGGTTGTGAGTTCAATCCTTGAGGGGGCCATTTAGGGAACTGAGGTAAAAATCTGTCTGGGGATTGGTCCTGCTTTGAGCAGGGGGCTGGACTAGATGACCTCCTGAGATCCCTTCCAGCCCTGATAGTCTATGATTCTATAACAGCCTTATTGAAAAGCTGCACTCACATTAGCTCAGATGCAATTTACAGCACATTGGTGAGGGTCTTTTGGTGTTGAGGAGTGAAGTTTAGGGCTGTTATTCACATTAGTAATTCTTATTCATGCAAGTAGTTCCTTTGATTTTAGTGGGACACATTGTGTGTATAAGGATTCCTCACATGGAAGGCAGTTCTCCCACCATTTTTCATGTAGAAAATACTTTACTCCACTATTATTCCCGTTGAAGTCAATGGAACTTCTTTCATAGTAAGGTAATATTCTGCGAGTAAGGGTAGCAGATTCAGGCTCAGTAAGATTGCAGGATTAGGCACTATGTAACTTTTGACAGTTTATTAGGATCAGAGTCTCCAATGCAGTTGGCTTATAGGGACTTGATTTGGTATGAACTATTTTGTACATTCTTACATTGAGAACTAGGGAATGCTGTGTTTATAGCTACTGTTACAACAGCCTCAAAGATAACACATTCCTTCCATTCTCTGCATGTGCAAACCTCACATTTATTTACATGCATCTCTATGCTTTGGCTGCAATTTAATCTCAGAATGACCTATCTGAAAAGGATGTGGACAAACCAGAGATTTCCTCAATCTCCAGGAACCAGCTTGTTGTAAAAACAAGAAATGTAGAACTGAGGCTGATCAGGAAGTTGGGGCGTGTATCATAATATAGGGTTGGTCAGATGATAAAACCAGCGGTTGGATTGTCCAGCATACCTCTTGATTGTTGATTTGTATGAATTAAAGTAGTGAACGTTGTACCCCTAAAGTAATCTAATGCTCTAGGAGAAAATGCTTCTAAACAAAAACTTCTGAAACTTACAGTATCAGAGTGTACTGTAACATCATCTGCCTAGTGCCTATTGAAGTGCCAAATATTGTTTAGTATTATTACTAACATGCTTAGGGGGTTCAAAGAACCAACATAAATCCTGTCTTTAGAATTTGCCATTTTGAATTTAACTTGAGAGGAGAAAGAAACCTTCCACACAATTGTTTTTGATTGCCTTCACTCAGTGTTAATTTCCACATATAGCAGTGTATGGAATGACACTAACGTGCAAAAAGCTCTTCTTATTGCAGTTGTAGAAATGGAAGTTTTCACCTAAACATAAATTGCCAAGGGTGGATAAAAATCACGATTAAAAATGAAATCAGATTATTGTTTCCGTGTTGATAGTTCTTTATTTCTCATTTTATAGTCTTGAATTGCTAAAGTGGATGCTTGTACTTATTTCCTTAATTGGTTTCCTAAAAAAAAAAGATAAGTCCAGCATCATTGTTACTGTGAGAACCACACAAACTCAGATATGAAATTTGTGCTATATTTCCAACCAACACCGTCTTCTGATATATCAAACGTCCGCAAGTCAAGGATGCTGAAATGCTTCAACCAGGCTATTAAGGGTTTGCAATTTGAAGTCAGTGGGACTTATGCTCCTAAGTCACTTACATGCTTTGGAAAATCCCTCCCTAAGATACTTAAAAATAGGTTTAGGAGTCTAAAATTAGTCAGAAAAAATTAGTTCACAAATAACTTTTCATCCTTAATACTGAAGCAATTTTGTTTTGAAGTAACAAAATTTGTATGCCAATAAAAGAAGTTTTGAGTAAAAATAGAATTTTACCCCCTGATACTGTAAACACTTATGCAGATGCGTAACTGTAGTCACATGGGACGTTCCATTGAAATCGAGAGACCAGTCATGTAACTAAAGTTACATACCTGTTGAAGTGTTTGCAGGATCAGAGCCTTAACTTTCAATATTTTGTCTCTTGCTGATAGCAGTTTTGCAAAGAGACCCTACCAGTAATGACATTTTAAGAAAGCATTTTATAAATTAATTATAAATTTTAATTTAAAGTTGTAATAGCTCAAATTTTCAAATTAGTTTTACAAAACCTGAACCAGATTTAAATCAGTGATTTTTTTTATTTTTTTAAATCCTGTGATTTAAATCAAGGAATTTAAATAATGTAAAAGACTACTACTTCTCTTGGTAGTTTGTTCCAATGGTTAATTATCCTCACTGTTAAAAATTTCTGTCTTATTTATAATCACCCTGATTTAAATTTCTCTCCCTGTAAGGTGTCCTAAAGCCTCTCGAGATGTTTACTGCAGTCCATATTGCTCATTCAGAATAAACATTTTGCAATACAGAATTGGCTCTAATGACAATGTGTCCATGTATTTTTCCCCTAGCTGCAGGAAATGACTTCCCAGAAGCAGCAGACGCACACCATTTTGGACCTAGTGAGGACAAAAAATATTCGATTTGTCACTATTATGTCAGTGATTATTTGGTAAGCAATAGTACGCGCCTAGAACGCACGAGTACAAAGGCCGCTGAATGATAAGCACCTGCTGTTAGAAACTGCTGTGTAAAAAAAAAAAAAAACAAAAAAAACAACCTAAGGAAAAAGGAGGCACAGACAAAGTTATTAGCATAAAGTTCAAAGGCCAGTAAACATCTGGCTAATGCTACAAGATTCAGATTAAACAGGTTGGTTTTTCATTTAAGGATTACAATAAGTGACTTTTTTCAGTAACTAATAAAAAAAAGACTTGTGAGAAGAGTGAATATTGACCAATGTTGAATATTGACCTGTGTAGTTCTCACTGCTCTTGAACTTCTTGCAGGGATGTCTGCTGCCATTGTAAAAAGTGCATGGCCCACTCTGCCCTCCAACTTCATTTCCAGTAGCCACCATAGAGTATCTCTTAATGTCTTGGAAAAGCTGGCTAGTATCTCCTGCCCTACAAATAGTGTGCTCTGTATGTTTGGGGTATTAGTACTGGAAGTAGTATAGTATAGGGTGGCTGCAAATAAAGGGGTGATAACCCATCACACATCTCAAACTATATGAGATGTCTCTAGTGCCTCTGAACAAGTGAGAGCCCCCTAATCAAATCCCTTTGCCAGGCTCTAGTAGATGGGGCGGAAGTCTGAGGCGTCATCATCACATAGTGTGTAAATCCCCCTACAAGAATGTTCTTTGAGAATCCATATCGGAGTATCAAGCTTTTCCAACATGACAGCCTAATGTAAACTGCTTTAGCGGGGGTGGTGGGTCTAGATTTGATGATGCTTTGAGCTCAGTAATACTTTTTGAAAGCACAGATTTGAATATACGGCAGAACAGCTGGGAATTCAGTCACAGGGTTCAAAGGGATAATTTTTTATAAGAACCATTCTTCTATCTCATTAAATTCTGGCAAACAATTATTGTTTGTAAATTATAGCTTAGGTTGCCAGGTCACACCAGGAAATCTGCAAGGCTGTAGTGACTTAAATATTTACTTAGTCATGAGGCTTTTCCTGGTACCTTACAGATGGCACGTTTACATCTCCACAAGTGCACTGATAGCTTCTTATTTTGTTTTAAGCAATTGAACCCTGAGCATTTTTTTGCTGTGCGCGAACCCAGCAAGAAACGAATTGTCTTTTGGATTGCAAACTCTTTGGTTATTTATTACATGTGCAGTTAGCATTATAGGGCTTGACCTCCTTGAGGCTCTAGGCCAGGGATCGGCAACCTTTGGCACGCGGCCGATCAGGGAAATCCGCTGGTGGGCTGGGACGGTTTGTTTACCTCCAACATCCGCAGGTTCAGCTGATCGCAGCTCCCACTGGCTGCAGTTCGCCATTCCAGGCCAATGGGATCTGCGGGAAGCGATGTGGGCTGAGGGATATGCTGGCCGCTGCTTCCCGCAACCCCCATTGGCCTGGAACGGCAAACCACGGCCAGTGGGAGCTTTGATCGGCCGAACCTGCGGATGCTGCAGGTAAACAAACTGTCCCGGCCTGCCAGCGGATTTCCCTGATGGGCCATGTGCCAAAGGTTGCCAATCCCTGCTCTAGGCCTTGATAAATAATAATGATAAAGGTAAGAGCTCTGTGCCTACATGATTCATTCAGAGATTTCCCAGTACAATAGCTGTGACCTCCTCATTTCTTTAATGGTTGTCTCTTGTTGGTGAAATGTGACCTTCCCTGCTCAATGTCTCTCAAGATATCCTAGTTCTCTAGTTCTTTACAGGCACTCTTGTTGCAGAGCAACAGTGAAAACCCAGTTTTCTTTTTCTGAGTACAGTCCTCTCAGCACAGAGCTCCCTCTCCCCTTCCTTGTCTCTAGCTAATAATATCTAATGTAGGCCTCGTTTTAATTTTGGAAACAGATTGAGTTCACTAGTCTAGATTCCTAACTTTCATACTAAGACTACAATTTTTTATTATTAGTAGTATGATTATTGTAATCACTCTAATATGGGTGCACCACTGCCCTTTACTTGGTGCATTCAGAAATCTTCAGCTCTATGTTAGAAACTCTCTATGCCAGCAACAATCGGAAGTTCTTCAGACAATGTAGCACGGACCCAGACTAAAAGTGACAAATGCATGAATCGTTTTTGCTAGGTCTATACTGGAGAGAAATTGACATGGGCATCTAGTCAATCAAAGGTAGCGGAAGCCGTGTGTGGCCACTGTTGTTACAGGAGCTATAGTGAGGATCCAGTAGATTGTGCTTACATGGACTCATGCATCAGCAGGGCTAACAAATATCTCTGGAATCATCTAGTCAGATTGGATTCCTTTTTAAACTCAACAGGAGGTTTTAAAAAAAAGCTGGTTTAAATTCAGGAAAAAAAATGGAAAGATAAATTCAGTCTCTAGAAGGCCTTGTCTGAGTCTGTTACACCACTGTGTACAGCAATAAATCTACCTGATACTAGCTTCAAAGCTGAGAGAGTCTGGTAGGCACTGACATTCCTTACATAGGCAAATCAATGTTAATATTTTGCACAGTAATTATGTGAGAGGCACTTGGCAGTCTGTGGCCATAGGAGGCTGAGGGAGAGCAGGAACAAGTCTGTCTGTCTGTCTGATTCTTTCCTATTTTCTGTGTCTTTCAGGATGATAATCTCTGTAGGCTATTTTGGCCTCTCACTTGACACTCCTAACTTGCATGGTGATGCCTACGTAAACTGCTTCCTCTCAGCGGTTATCGAAGTTCCAGCCTACATTATAGCCTGGGTGCTTCTCCGAAATCTCCCGCGACGATATTCGATGGCTGCTGCATTATTCTTGGGAGGCTGTGTCCTTCTCTTCATTCAGCTGGTCCCTCCACGTATGAACTTTTTAGCTGATATCAATCAGATTTTTTTAATGGGTAAATTCCAGTGCCTAGCACTGGGCAACTATGTGAAGTACTGTGGAGGAGAAGAATCTTTCTCCAAAGCTGTAGACCAAATGCAGATTCTTCTTACCCATCCTTGCCCTTTCCCTCCACATCTGCTTGCTGCTGCACAGGGAGCTCATGTGACACAAGGGGTATGTCTAGAGCTGCAGGTGTAATTTCCAGCTCGGGTAGACTTACCTGTGCTAGCTCTGATCGAGCTAGCATGCTAAAAATAGAAGTGCAACCCTGGTAGCACAAGCAACGGGGCAGGCTAGTGGGACGGTATGATCATGTCTGAAACCCTAGGTACATACTCGGGGTAACTAGCCCCTTCTCCCACCCATGCTGCCATGGTTGCATTTCTATTTTTAGTACACTAGCTCAATCAGAGCTAGCACAGGTATGTCTTCCTGGGGTGGAAATTACATCTCCAGCTCTAATGTAGACATACCCAGTGTCAGATACATTCCTGAGCTTTTTCTTTCTTTAAAGTAAAGATAGTTTGTTCTCTTTATGGTCTGTTAAGATTCAGACTCTAGTCTGGTTTTGCCCTAATTTACACCCTTGGAGTCCCAATAAATTCATGGTGTGGAACAAGGTGTAGACCAAATGGAGTAGTCAATTGGGTGGCACCAGAAGCTGGCATAATTCTGCAGAACTTATCTCCAGAAGAACCAATTGTCAATAATGCTTTTCCTACTTTGGTCTCATTAAGAACTTGAATTTCAGGAGAGCTATTAGGTAGCCTTTGTTATAAATAACAATACTAAAAGTAAACAAGTGTCAATACTTTTTAAAAAAAGTGAATGTTTGCCAATTAAAACATATTTGAAGGAAGGTATCTCATACTTAGAACCCCACCATTAAATAGCCTTCTGCTAAGTACACTAGAGATCGTTACCATACTGATCTGTTGATGGCTTTGACCATGTGTTTAGGGCTTGGTGTATAAGCATGTTATTGCAAATCAAAGAATAATTAAATGAAAGGGAGAAGTGTCTTGCTTATTCTCCAAAAGTGAAAGGTGGGTTATATTATTTGCTACTCCTGGTCTTTAAATCACCTGTACATTGGTATGTGTTTTATTACAAAGCTCATCCCACTAGCTAGGGTTGAACCAGGATCTTAGAAATACATTGGCAATGTGTTTCTCCTTAAGCTGTCTCTCTGTTCTCAAACTTTATAGGTGGCAGGACTGGATGACCTTGGGAGAAAGATGGTTTTATTTTATTAAGAGTCTTTATGTTAAAATGAATCAACCAAGAAACCCCAACACTGGAATTAAGTTGACGAGAAGCGAAAAATAAAAATGGCATTAATAGATGCAGTGACTTGTTACAGTTTGACTGATGTTCTGATTGAATCTCCCTTTCAGACCTTCACATCCTGTCCATTATCTTGGTGATGCTGGGTAAATTTGGGATCACATCTTCCTTTTCAATGGTTTACGTTTACACTGCTGAGCTATACCCAACAGTCGTGAGGAATATGGGAGTTGGAGCGAGTTCCATGGCCTCCAGAGTGGGCAGCATCCTCTCACCTTATTTTGTTTACCTTGGTAAGATACCAGCTATTGTATCTCCTGCCAAATTGGCTACTATTGAAAACAGACTTGAACAGCTGCAAGTCTAGGCTGATTTCTGTAACAGGGAATCAGTGCTTCAATATGTCTTTAAAGTCACGCTCTCATCTTGCCTTGTAAAGTCCAGGCTATTGCCCTATATTTGTCGCAGATTAGTCAACAAATATGCTATAACAGAATCTCAGCTGCTTCTACTCTTCTCAGTGAGTAACCTCAGCTCACAGAAGGCATTTAGAAATTCTAACATTGCTCAATACTTTGTGATTTGGAAACACAGAACTCGAAGAAATTATGCCCATATAATAGGATCTGTATTTGGCCATTAGTTTCCTAAAGAACATTTGGCCTCAAAAAATCACTGAACAATGATATCTGCGTATTAGAGTATCTCTTCATTAGGCTTCTGAGGCGACATCCTATCAGGATGAATGGGGCAGTTCACTTTTCTCTCTCCGCTTTTTTTTTTCAGGCTGTCTGGAGACTCAGGGAAATGCCAATAAGAACGGATTTTTACCATATGAAAGTTATCTTTGCAACCATGTGGACTACAGACTTAACCTTTTTTAACAAACATTTATATCTTACAGCACAATGGTACTGCAATTTAGACCGCTGTATGTTTGCATTATACACAGGACCCAAATATTAACCACTGGTTCATCCTGGTGGTGATGTAAACCTGAGGTCAGCATGTCCTATGTTCTTTTAGGTGCCTATGACAGATTCCTGCCTTACATCCTCATGGGAAGCCTGACTGTGCTGACGGGAATCCTTACTCTGTTTCTCCCAGAAAGTTATGGCACGCCTCTCCCAGACACCATAGAGCAGATGCTGCGGGTTAAAGGGTAAGTGTTACCTTCTAATCTTCTCTCTTAAGAAAATTATACCATCTCTGAGAAAAATGTCCACATAAAATACAGTTCCCTCTTAGCTGTTTGATTCCCGGCTGTCTTTTGGGGGTGGTAAACTAAAAAAAAATTAAGATCTCAAATCAGCAATAGAATTGACCGAATGGAACTCCACTGAGTTACAGCAGAGATGACTATCGGCAATATGCTGTGCATATCATACATCGTGCTGCTTGAAAGTTGTTCACAAATTGGAGGGAGCTCTTAGAAGAGAAACAAAAAGGTTTAAGGAGTTGTAAGGATTAAAGTACGAGAAACAACTGAACAAGCAAATTAAATGGAGCATAGGTAGGCACGTATAGCTTGTCTCTGATGGGTTTACACAGGTGTCATTAAAGGAAGAATTTAGCCCTACTAATGGAATTTAATTGTGATTCTGTTGACGATTCATGAGCCTGAATAGAATCCAAGTCATTCTTTCAGAGTTGGGTGGCTCTGTGTACATGAGTACACAGTGCCCACAGGAAATAAACATGTGAAAAATGAGCTATTTTATGTAGTCTTTTTAAGAGTATAACCACATTTAAGATATTTAACATAAACATCCTTGACATGTAGCAAACATGGTAAAAATGTTGAAATGTTGTTTCATAATATGAAAGTTCATCATCCAAATAATTTCTCCTGATTCGAGTATAGGTAAAAAGTCCCTTGGGTATCAATTGGAAGTGTTCAGCACTTTCAAATCACAATGGTATCACAAGGTCATTGAGAGTTTTCAGCACTTCATTTTCTGATTTAGGAAGATGCATACGCATTTTAAAGTAAGGCACATGCTTAGGTACTTTGCTGAATCAGGGCCCATATGGACAAACTTACATTTAGGATTTTGGAGGGTACTGTTTTAATTAGAACTTGCACTATTTGTTATTTTTCCTTGTTTACAGACTCAAGTACAGACATACATCTAATAGCACAAGGGTTTCAAAGGATGAAGAAGAAAGCCCAGTGATTCTTAAAAGCACGGCTTTTTGATGACACTACACTGTATACTTCATGATGGACTGAAAAGTAAACTGACTTTTCTTTTAATTTTCCTTCCAGAAAGGGCTAGTAGCAACACTTTGTGTCCTGTAATTATAAACTTATTTATTAAATGAAACACTGTTTTTAGTACGTTCTTTTTATATGAACGTAGATACTGTATATCCCTTCGTGAGATCTCCATCCACAGTCGTTTAATGTGTCAAAACCACAGAACTATGTTGGATAAACCCAGTTTATAATTTTAAGAATTACTACGACACTCTTGCTATAGACCTCAATATCTAAAAGGTGCTTGTCACTGAGTGCTGATGGAGTGACTTCAGTCCTTAACGAGCTTAAGATAACTCATGTTAACAAGAGTTAAAAATTGCCAGCTCTTTCCAAATTGTAAGAAAAGGCTGCTAGTGATACTGGATTTCTCGACATGCACAAACACACATATCTGCCCGCAGGCAGGGAGCTTTTTATAAAGTAACAAAGGTGGTGAAAATACCTGGCTTGGCAATTTTACATCAGAACATAAATCATACACAGGTGGCTTTGCACAAGATTAATTCCTGAACAACTTCAGGGATGAAAAAAGAAAAACTTTGACAAATGAATTTGAAAACTTGACTTTATTTTAGCTGGAAATGGATTGAGAAGATTTTCTTGCACAAATCATTTGCAATATTTAAGTTTTGCTAGCGAAGTAATTCTGATTGTTTCAAATATCTTTTTAATATGACCACAGGGTGAAGTTGTTTACATCTGGTATTGGGGTGTGTCCTATTCCAGGTGCTTATTTATTTTTAAAACTATAAATAGGTTTCATCTGTATTTCTTTTATCCTTTAGGATACAGTATGTAAGCTAATCCTTCTAAGTCTTTTGTACAGTTTGATTCGGGGCATTATGTCTATTTTCAAAACTTTCTATTTCCTGTTTTGTTCTTTTTTTTTGTCAGTTTCCTCAACATGGAGGGCTAAATTCCACTCTCAGGTGTACCCTGTGCACTCACATAAAATTGAATGTGCGCGGGTTACATGGGTATAATTAAGATCAATATTTAGCCTCAAGTCCTGGCCATAAGCTTGACTCAGAGCCAAGAATGTCATTTCACATGTTCTGTTTTCTCACAAATATCATGAAATCAGTGGAAAAAATTTTTAAAGAGCAAAACCAAGAAATCGTGTTGAAAATCTGCCAAGAGCCAATTCCTTTGATTGCAGAAGCTGCCTTCGTAGCATTTGTGTTTCTTTCAGGAAAACTTGTTTCTTTCTCATTTGGACAATGCTGAAAGCACATTGCTTCACACTGGGACAGGTTTAAGAAATGAATTTCATGAAGCATTCTGTGGTACTTTAATTTTTTTGGAACGGTTTAATAAATAGAGTCTTACCTTTCAGTAATCAAAGCTGTTAGAGGCTTTTCTTTCTGGAAAAGCAGCTATTTACAAACATTTAACATTTTACTACTGTGTTAAATTTAGCAGCAGCTAATTATCCTGATAGCCAGCGTGCCTTATTCTCTCCCTGAAGACCATGCTGTAGCAACAGGTTTGGTACAGTGCCTCCTGCCTTATAGAAGTATGTTGTAGACCCTTCCTCTCTTTCTTGTCCTTACTATGTGCATGCACATTGCATGTGCTGTATGTGTGTGAGTTGACCCTGATCTGATTCTGTAGTTCTGCCTGCCCACAGCTAAAGTTGTGAGATTTTATGTACCTTAGCCCTATCTATTCAATCTCTATCAGATGTGCCATTGGTATGTCTTTCATCATCTGATGGAAGTAACTACAAGTTGGCAAGTGTTACTGTGTTTTGGGGTATAGAACTGACATTATCCTATGTAAAAGGGAGCTGCAAGGAACATGCAAGGCCCCTATTAACTTTTAAAGGGAGATTCGTTGTTTCTCGCTCTGCCCTTCTACATTTCCTTGTCCTGTTAGGGCCATTATGAGATCTGGAGTGAGATTTGCAAAATTGACACAGGTCAACGCCATACTCTACACTGGTCTCAAATCATACACCACTGCCTTATAAAATCCACTTGGCAGGGACTTGTCACTCTGTCAAGACAAGAGCGTCTGCTTTGGGTAACTCTGGTTACAGTGTTTTGACTATATTTGCATTTTCCCCGCCTAAGAATTGCACTTTGCAACATTCCTACCAGAAGGGCACAAACAGCCTCTTAGAGAGCATATGTCTACACTTTGCACTGGGGCTGTAATGCCCAACTCTAGGAGACACGCCTGCGTTAGCTGGCAGTGAGCTAGCCTGCTAAAAACAGAATGTAGCTGCAGCAGTGCATGTGGCAAGAGGGGCTAATAGCACCAAACACCTGGAATTACACCTCGAGGTCAAAGTGCAGACATACTGACTTTCTGTGTCCTATGCATGAGATCATTGGAATCTGTTCTAAAATATAACTTGAAGTCTTACAGCATGTGGGCTTTTAACTGATGCCTAATCTAAAACTGGAATTAACTCCTGGCCAAGGTCTGAAATGCCCTTAACACCTCATTTAGCTGTTACTTTCCTCCACTGATTTATTCCATTATGTCACTGGGCAATGAGATTTTCTTTTTTAAATGTTCCAATGTTTACTGAGCAATCTTGAGGACAATGGTTGAGCCAGCTGAACGGGGAATTTCTCAGTTGTGATGCAAGGCAGATATACCATGGCAATAATGAACAATTCTGATATCACAGCATGTATTTTAGTGCACATTAGTCTTCTAAAAATGGAAAATATAACACAAAATATCCTCCATGCTGCTGCAAAGTGTATGGATATTAATGCCGTATATACTCGTTCATAAGCCGAATATTTTTGGTAAAAAAGTGCCGCATCAAAGAGCAGGGGTCGGCTTATAAATGGGTTTACACCAAAATTTGATGATTTTAACTCTATGGAATCATTGAATTGAATATCTAATACATTGTCATTTTGTTTACTTGGAGTGTCTGCAGGCATGGAGCCCCTCAGCTCCCTGTAGCCGCGGTTCGCCATTCCCAGCCAATGGGAGCTGTGGGAAGTGGCGCACGACTTCCCGCAGCTCCCATTGGCTGGGAACGGTGAACTGCGGCTATAGGGAGCTGAGGGGCTCCATGCCTGCAGACGCTTCAGGTAAACAAAACGTCCCGACCCGCCAGTGGCTTACCCTGACAGGCCGGGAGCCAAAGTTTGCCAAGCCCTGAAATATAGAGTCAGCTTATGAAAGGGTCATACGGTTTTTGCTATTTTTACCTAACCATCTTGGGGGGGTCGGCTTATAAACGAATGGGCTAATGAACAAGTATATACGGTATATTAATCTGATTCCCATTTGACAGTTTATCCCATGCACTGTTTTCACTATTGGTTTTGTTAATGGGTGGCACTACCCACCTGGGTTATTTTTCGGTATGACTCCGTGGATTCTCTGATCTTGAAAAGAATGCACTAATTTTAGTAAAATAAAAACCAGCTCAGAATCTAACTGAAATATTCCTCCTATGTTCTTTTGGAGATGTATGTTAATAAGATCAATGTGCAGGTGAAGAGAGTCACAGATAAAATCTAGACTAGAGGAACACTGAAAATGATTACCTGAATCAACAGTGACATCAGTAATGGCAATAGAAGATAAGGTCTGGAGGTGCTTAGCACAATTGTAGATACTTGTAGAACATTTTGGTGGCACCATGTTGTATTTAAACTTTGGCAGAGTCATTTTGAGTGCTACATGTTCAGACCTTTGTAGCTTCAAGACATCATCTCCGTAATGGTCTTTAAAGATTCTGTTGGCCTGTCACTTATTTTTAGTGTTTTGTAGGTTGGGGTGGCATTGGGGCCTTCTGAACTGCTCTGATCTGAATATAACATTTTTACAAACTGAGGTTTTTGGAAATGCTCCATTCTTTCTAAAAAAAGCCAACACGTACATTTAATAGAAGCCTTCCTCCTTCCATGAATTACTTTCTAAACCAGAAAGACCCCTATGAAAGTAACATTAGAACAGGGTCCTTTAGTACCAGTAGAGTTCCAAGGTGAGGTCATCGAGGTGTACTGTGTAATTCCATCTGCTATTATGTAAAGGCTTTTAAAATTGTACCATTTTTCATTTTTACAAGTATGTTAACAGCAGATATAGTATACAGAACATAAATATGTGGCTATAAAGAAGACTTTAACTGTGCTTCAGTTAATAACTGAGGGCCCTGTTCTGTCATCCTTACCTTAGTCTGTGGGTAGTCCTATTGTTTTCCAAGGATTAAAGTACTACTCATTGGAAGGGTGGCAAAATCTACCCCTGAATGAGGGGTTGTGCTAAGATGGTAAATTCACTGTAATATTTACACCAGGGTAGCATGCAAAATGGATTCAGGCTGTCTTAAATCTACAAAAGCTGGAAAATTCAGAATGGCTCATGCATTCTTTTCCTCATCTGCTAAGAATCGCTGCCTGTATGGTACATAAGATTCCTTGCTGATAGACAACCCCCATCATCGTTATGAGAGACATGGCGTAGTGGTCATGAGCACAGGGCTAGGATCCAGGAACACCCAAGTTCTAATCCTAGCTCTGAGATTGACTCCCTTTATCATTTTGGACAAGTCACTTTGGCCTTGGTACCTCAGTTTCCCAGTATCTCCAGTAAAATGGAGATAATACCACCTCTCAAGGGTGTTGGAATTAATGAATGCTTGTGAAGAGTTATGTAAATGCTCAGGATGATTATCTGCCATTTCTGAGCACTAGTTAGAATTTTTAGCTTTACTTCTGAATCTGGCTATGAATTTAACATTATAATATAGTGTTAATTTTAATTGGTTATTGTTTTGTAGCACCTGCTGCCAGCTGATCTCAGAGCACTTGTGACGTTAGCTTCACCAGTGCTGGTACACCACCCCCTTTCGTACTCCTAAATTACAGACTGGGAAAGATAGGCACAAAGAGGAGGTGGCCAGGGCCCCATAGAAAGTCTGTTACAGAGCCAGGTGTAGAACCTGGGTTTTCTAGACCCCAATCCTGTGCTTTCACTCACAAACTCCTTCCCTGGTGCTATGTAAAACCGCACTTTTGAGAGTGCTTCCTTTTGAAATGTAGGGCACATTTAAAATTTACATTATTCTCCCAAGTGCATGGTGAG